CATTAACTTCTGCTGGAGATGATTTTCTTCCAGTGACTCCCAAGGTTTCTGAAACTGCATTCCCTGTGCAATCTTGGGGAAAAAAATAGCCTTAAATCTGATGTTACATGGCTTTCAGATTTTATTAGAAGACTTACTGAATTTTCCAAATGCTTTAGGCTTTTCAGATCTCATACCTGAGGGCTGGAATGTCCTCATCCCTCCCATCTCTGACATGAAAGTGTAAGGACATGCACGCGGGCTCCAGGGCCTGCGGGATGGAAAGTTTCAAATGCTCACAGGCAGAGGGAATGTTCTGGTACTGTCATTGGCTTCAGTCTGCAGGATGGGCTCCCTCAGCGATTCCTGGCAGCAGTTACTCCTTTCCTGTTTGGTAGGAAGCACAGTCCTTGAGGGCTTCACCCCACCCACTTAAATAATGACTCCCTTGCAAGGGGATAAAATAAAACTTCCTCTTTACCTGGTATTTATTTGAATTTTCACAGCATTCATTAAAGTGCTTGCCCGAGGCAATCCATAGTAAAGATCCCATTCTGCCCTACCCCAAAATACTAACTTTAATATGAACTCTCCCTGACATCTCTGAAGGCCCAGTGTTTTAGAACCCAAGAAGCACCCAGTTCAAATTCAACACCCTCCAGTTGAGGACAGTGATAATCAGAGGTCATGGGACTCACGTCTGCCTGTTGGGAGTGGAATGGGCAGGCACCTAAGAACCAATTCAGCTTTCCTCTCTGTAACCCTTCCCCTAGACCCAACCACTTTCTTCTCGGAGTCCACTGGGCCTATTCCACCTACCAGAACATTGACCTTATTTTATACTGATCGTTTGTTTACACTGATTTTTTTTCCTACTTTATGTGGACTTCCATCAAGGAAGCAGTGTAATTTTCTTCATCTCTGAATACTGCTCCAAACCCACTACTGAGTGTCCACTCAAAAACTGAGGACTGAATCCACAAATGACCAGAACGTCACTACCCCATCTTCCCTATGACTGTTCATGTTCCCCATTTATAAAACGAAGATTGCATTGATGTGCCTCTCAAGATAATTATGTAGTTATATATGATTGCCAAGTGCTCCAAGACCATAAATTTTTTTATAAATGCCAGCCATGATTATAACCCTTTGAAACAATGGGATACAGGATTAACAAGTGGAAAAAGATGAGACAGAGAAGGTAATGCTTCTCGCCCAGTCCCTGTTCCTCTCCCCACCCACCACCAGACAGTAACTCAGAGTTAAAACCATAAAGTGGGAAAAAGGGGTTTAACTAGGGTCTACCCAGGATTTCTTGGACATATGCCATCATCCTGCCAAAGTCTGACAAAGGGAGCTTGAGGCAAGATTTCTTACTGGTGAATGATTCCCAGTTCACTGTTGAAATGGACACTCAGATGAAGAAGGCACCTGGTCATACCTACCTAAAGCTTTGGGGGCCTTCAAGAGCTGACGAGTGATTAGGAGAGGGACCGTCAAGGTGAAAAACTGTCAGACTCGACTCTATCTGGATCTCCTGTGTGGCTGGCCTGCCAAGGGGAGGGCAGCAGGGCATGTCCTCTTCTTCTTTTGTTTCTCCTTCCCCCAGATGTATCATACAAAGGGGCCAGGAAAGGTGTGTTGCTTGTTGAATAAACGGGGCATTCAGACTTTCCTCCCAAGCAACACATCAGGAAAAGAGAGGGCAGGAACATCTTTGGTTATTTTATTGTGGAGCCTTAACAAGATTTTTGAAGCCAGAGGTGACTCATTAATCCAAACTTTCACATGATTGCTGCCATCCATTGTAGTGAAAACCAGGATCAATAATCAGATTGTTCCCCACTTGACATCGTCTGGCCTCAGAGGTCAGCAATGGGCACAGAAAACATTGTGATTTACAGGGAGGGGAAGGGAAGCGGGGTGTGTGACAGAATTTGCAGTTCCAACACAGCAGTGAGCTCAAGAATGGTGGATGTTACTTGTCTCGATGTGTCTGAAGACGTCAACCCCTTCCAAATCAAAGTGGGCCCCACATCTCATATTGGAAACATCAAATTATCTGGGAGTAGTTGATTGGTGGGTGGGCTGCTGGGACTATGTAGGGAGGTCACTTCCCATCACAGGCTTCTTGGCAGGAGGTAGAACCATGGACTTGTGGTTTGGAATTTTTGCCAAATGGTTCCTGTTTCCCTGAAGAGTTTTGGATGTGGGATCAGTTCAACTTTTTCCCACTTCTCAGCCATTCCACTGTCAGCCACCTCAGAACACTGAATGCCTTGGCATAAGGAGCTGGTGAGGTGGCCCCCATTATCTCCTCTCTTGACGTCAGTGAGGGAGTTGTTCCCTGTGGCTGTCTTATGGGAAATAATTCAGCATTTGTACTTCAATTAAAATTCATAGGTATATATTATTAAATGGTACTGACTCATTCCATGGCTTCTTTTCAGCTGATTAAGTGCCAAAAAAATGTTACATATGTGTTAATAATGATGAAGAGTGCATTAAACCTAAGATTTCCTTGTCCGTTGACAGTGCTGTGAAGCAAGCACTTCACCCATCTGGAGGATCACTGTGTCCTGTGTCTTCTCTAGAGAAGAAACTTAAGCTCAAGAGTCTTTCTGCCTTTGAGGGAGAGGAAAAATGACACTGGACTACAATCCTCTTTCCTTTTGTGAGCTTCACAAAAGCAGCACTGGGCACAAGGTATGTTCTCAAATGTGGGCCTGAATCAAATTGAATTATGCAACTCATATTCAATATTTGTCAAAGAAGGGGAATCACACACAAAAATCACAAGATCAGGTAGCTCAGCCGGAAGACAAAAGAGGAGTTTTTCCTGACTTGATAAAGTCAAACCTTCTTCTTTACACTAATTCATTATTTTATATTTAATGTGCCTAGGAAGATGGCCCAGGGAACAGGGATAATAGTGCTTTTTTTTCCCTCCCTGGCTCAAAAGACCATGCTTGTAGCTAACTGTAGTCATTCCACGCTGAGTGACCACAAGCAATCACTTTACTTCATATCCCCTGCCCAGCACGCCTCCTGGGATTCCTCGTGTGTGGACATGTCCTGTGTTATAAGCACTCAACACAATAAAACAGATGAAAACAAAAGCTTAGTCATCAAGACAAATGGTGGTTCTCTAAGCCATACCAACCAAGAGCCCTAAACGTAAAAATTGAGCTTTTCAGCTTAGGCTGCCTCCAGTACATTTATCACCTCTGTGTGAGTAAGTAAAAGGCTCCCCCAGCCGGTTGTGGTGGTGCACGCCTGTAATCCCAGTGACTTGGGAGGCTGAGGCAGGACGATTCCAAGTCTGAGGTCAGCCTGAGCAGCAACTTAGTAAGACCCAGTCTCAACATACAAAGGGACTGTTTTCTCAGTGATAAAGTACCCCTGGGTTCAATCCCCAGTACCGAAAGAAAAAAATAAAAAAGGAAGAAAGAGAACAAAAACATTCCCTCCTTCTGGACAGACACAGATTTGCAGATCCATGGATTAGTCAGCAAGTTCCATCTTTAGCTGGATTATAAGAAGCAGCCCTTCCTGTAGGTGGACGAAGCCAGGCACCAGGATCCTAAGCCCCGTGTAACATAACCAAAATCAACAGCCCTGGCTTTAGCTCTGGCTCTGTTTCATCTCTGAGCTTCTACCTAAAGAGAAAGAATTGAATTGTGATTTCTATGGCTTTCTTCATCTCTAAAAACTTCAAATTTTCCAATGGGCTTTTCTATTCTTCTACAAGAGGGATTATCTAGCATACAGATACTGCAACTTCTAAGTCTGATATATTTTAGTCATCTGATGACACTCCCTAAATATTTAAATGAAATTATGTATGGTTTGATGTGGAGCAGATTAAAATATAAATGCTTTAGCACATACATGATGTTCCAGGTGTCGAGCAACATGGTGAACCAGCAAAACGGGAATAACTACCCAGTGCTGTCAGCAAATGTCTCAAGATGTGGATCTCACACAATGATGTCTATTGAGGCCTTCACCCATTTTCTGTGGGATCGAGCATCAGACAGTGCTGAATGCCTGAATGCTCTCCCAGAGCACCCACTGCACCCAGGAAGCCAGGATTGCAAAGAACCAGGGACTGTTTTCTCTGTTGATGCCTTGTTGCCAGAAAACAGAAATCAGATCCTTGCCTGGATCCTCCTATCAGCAAATCTGAGTGCCAACAAGCTCTTCGCAGTGGAAGAACAGACAAATAGCAATCTGCTTCAAAGCTCAAGAATTTTGAGCCCTTAAAATTGGGTTTAAAAATCTTATAATCACATGTGCATATAAGGAACCCATTTGCAAGTCTCAAAATGTTAGCAGAAATGAATTTGTTCTTATTTGGGACTATTTCTAAAATTAGTTTTGATTGGGGGATTTATTTGTTTGTATTTGGAGCACATGGGAGGGCTTCTGGAAAGCTATACCTAATTATGTCATTTTTAGAGAAGGAAACTGAAGTCCAGAAAGGGAAAGAAGGTAGCTCCAGGTCACACAGCAGGGTAAATATGATGGGGCTGGGATTATAACTTAATGCTCTTTCCCTTTACCCATGATGAAAATGTAAGCAGAAAGTTTGGCGGAAAACAGATGGCACATAAATCACTGTAACTCAAATTTTCAGTTTCAAAGAATGGATGTTCTTACCACTAACCAAGAACATGCATTGTAGAAAGTAAATCTTAGCTCTACCCGTGCCCATCACAAAGGTGACAGTCTCACACTGGTAAAATATGGCCCACACACCCTGTTTTACAGTCTATAGAATAACCCCATAGACTGTAAAACATCTTTGCAGCATCCCCCTTAGTACTGGGATCAGAACCAGTCATTCTCTGGATTAATATCCCCCTGGGCCAACCATCTGTTTCTTCCAAAGCAGTGTCCCCCAGGAGCTGTGTGCCTGCTAGCAAAAGAGTTGTGGCCCAACAGTGCTTCTAGGTTGTCCAGGAGCTGCTGCGGGACCACTGTCTGAAGACAAAACAGGCACCCGGGAGAAGATATTAAAACAAAGCTCCCTTTATTAAACAACTCCGACACAAGCAGGAATCTGTGAGCTGGGCAGCAGCAATGTGGAGGGGCCGTTGAATATAAGCAGATGAAGACTGGAATCAATCAGACTCACTTTTCTTAGTATAAAACATCCCTTTCCTCTAGGGGCTGCCGCTCTCCAGCAGCCTGGCCACAGTGTCCTGAGCCAGGTGGGATTAGAGATTTTCTTCCAAAGTCACTGAAGTGAAGACCCATTCCATTCCAACCTCTCTGTGACTTTTTGAAGACAACTCAGAGGGCAGTCTCTCCCAGAGCACCTTGGAGGGTGAGCTGAAGTTTCCAGTGTACAGAGTGAGGTTGTTCCCTGGTGAGAACACCAGAACCAAAAGCTCCAGCAAGGCCCTGGGAAGACGGCCCCTCTGTCGCAGGCAGTCCTCAGCCAAGAGCTTCCCTCCTGGAGCTTGGATGGCCCTCATGCCCAGGACACCTGAGGCCATGCAGACTTCACCAGGGGCTCTGCAGACCCAAAGCTTAGCTGACTCTGGAGAGTTGAGCTCACGGCTGTCAGCACCTCGAGAGGACATGGCGGAAAGGCACCGAGCCAGGAAAGCATGCTGAGACCAAGTCACACTCTAACTTTAGAGCTGGGACACACATAAGAGTGTGGATTCGCCAAGAACCAGCTTATTCTCTCTGAGTTTTTGAATGTGCAGCAAATTGTGTGTGTGTGTGTGTGTTTTGTGTGTGGTTTGTATTTTTGGTGTTTAGATGTGTTTGTGCATGTGTATGTGTATGTGTGATGTGTTTGGCGTGTATTTATATGTGTGGCATGTGTGTGGTGTGTTATGTGGTACGTGTGTGATGTGTTTGTGTGTGGTGTGTATATGTGGAGCAAGGGAAGGTGACTGAGCTTTGAAACATCATCTGAAGAAAAACCAAGAAAGACAGAAGTGAAGCAAAGCTAGCACCCTAAGGAACAGAAGGGAGATCTAATGACTCATGTTAACCTGTTAATTTATACCATGGCTCTGTACAAAAATAAAAAGGTTCTTTTAAGATTAACAATTTAAATAAATATTTGATAGAACTTTCTTTCTTGTTTTTATAGCTCATCTTTGGGGTTAATGTTCAGTTCATGCTTTCCTTGCTGCTCCTGATCCAGGATTGCAATCACTTCATCGGCCTTTATTCGTTCCTGCAAAGAAGACAATTGACAAGTTTCTGTTACAAGCATAGTAATCAATCCCAGTGGCAGATGCTTCCTGAACACTTCCAGGCATCCATATGGGCATGGATTGGTGCTAAATCCAGTTAAGGATGAAACCTCATCTTCATCTCCTTTGTCCTAAGTAATTATTTTCCATGATTTCTTTCCTGCAAAACACGTCTTGCATATTCAACCACTTCCTACTCTTGCTACTTCATGGTCTCATCAACATCTCCAGCTCAGCTCAGTATTCTAACTGAATGCACCTTTTCTCCCCCACAGACCTATTCTGTTCCTCAGATACTAAACCTCGCAGTAAAGCCGCTGCCCTCCCATTTGCCATAATAACCTGACCATGGATTCCTGCATCTGATAAGCCATTTCGTCCTTTCCATTTTGTCTCTTTTTTCTGCCCCTTTCTTTTCCAGGCATAATACTGTGGCTTTATTTTGGGCCAGGGTTTCTCAACCTTGGCGCTGCTGACATTTAGACCAGATCATTCCTTGTTGTTGTGTGTGTGTGTGTGTGTGGAGAGAGGGTCAGGTGCATTGTAGAATGTTCAGCAATGTCCCTGGTCTCTACTTACTACAGGTAGCCAACAGGATGTCTCCCTAAGTTGTGATGACCAAAGTGTCCCCAGACATTGCCCAATGTGCCCTAGGCAAAGCTCCTTCTTAACAGCCACTGGTTTAGGTCCACGTTATTTCCTAACTCGGTTGCATCAGAAACTTCCAAATTGAACTCCCTGTTTCGCTACTCACAAGCTTCTAATACTCATGTGCTTTTCTTGGGTCCTGCTCATAAACCTGGCCATATCACTCTGCTGCTCAGTACTCAGACCCTTGGCTTCCAATGGCTTGGAGGTCTGGGTTCATATTTCTCTGTGTGCTTATAAGGAGCTCACTGATTTAGACCTTTCTGTGTCATCAGCCTTATGTTGTTTTCTTCCCTCTCCTCTTCTTACACTCCAACTTCCTGACTTACCTCCTGATCCCTAAATACTACAGTCTCAAAAGAACTGCCAAGTCCTAGTCTAAATTAAATATCCTTCTGGATGTTGCCACTGTATCCTGTGTTTTCTCTTATCTCACACCAACCAGCCATAGGTCTAGCCGGTCGACCACCACACTGCATCTCAAACCTCCCACGTCTTTCACCTTTTCTGTCATTACTCTAAGTCCAGATATCTGCTAAAGTGATCTTCTGGATCTGGTCATTCCCAGAACTGGAGGAGCAAACTGGGAGGAGGAGGATATAATGGCTTCCTAGCAGTTAGAATGGATTTCAAAGTACTGATCCAACCTGGAAAGTGTGGACCTGCTTTCTCTGTTCTCCTTTTGTACTATGCTCCATCTTGCATGTCATAACCCAGTCACTATTCATTGTTTTTTGTTTTGTAATATTTCTTTCGTGGTAGGGAGGTTGTTTGCTTGTTTTTGATTCTGGAAACCCAACTCAGGGCCTTACCAATGCCAAAGCATACACTCTACTGCTGAGCTACACCTCCAACACCTTTTTTGTCTACCTCTCTAAGTTCCCTCTTGTCTCTGGGCCTTTGCATTGTCATCTGAGCCTGAAATGCTCTTCTCCAGATGTCTGTTGGCTCTTCTTGTCACTGGGGTTGCAGCTCACATGTCACTTGCTTGGCGAGAACTCACAGTTTGACAGCCCATTATTCTCAAATCAATTACCTTGTTCCATTTTGCACACACCATTTATGACTATGAGAAATTCTCTCAATTGGTAATATTTTTGCCTATTTGTTGCCTGTCTGTGTCCACTAGAATGTAAACTTCCGGGGAGGAAGGAATCTTATCTTCTTGGTCACTCCATTTTCTAGTGTACAAAAAAAGTTACTGACATTTGGCATTTATATTCAATGAGTCAATACATACATATGAAGGTCTCCTCTAAAATGCTTCTCCTTACAGAAATCTCACTCACCCTGTAAATCTCACCTCAAACATCATCTCCTCAATGACCCTTTCCTGCCTACTTCTTTATATCCCCTGCACATTCATTTGCTACTGACAATTCCTACCACCTTCATATTTTACTTACTTGGGCACCTGTATCATCTCTCCAAAGACTCTGAGCTCCTGGAAACCGGGGGTTAAGCCTCATCTAGTCTGTATTCCCCAGAGGTAGTCTCTAGCACAGTGTAAAGCATAGCAACTTATAAAAACAACTGTTTTATGGCCTAAAAACAAATCTCCTTTCATGCAAGACCTCATAATTGAAAACAATGTTGACATAAAGACAACCAAAATAACCAACTGACTAAAAGTAAACTAAATTGCTGCTATAGCTTTTTTAAAAGGCCTGTTTACTAATTTATGAATATGGTAAGAAAATCTCGATGCTTAAAAAAAAAAAAAAAACTGACACACATGCAAAGTTCTCACATCTGATGGCCACAAAATACTATCACAATTAAGTCTCTTATGAAGGGAAAGAAATTCAAGACCTAAATATGAAATACATGAAACTCGGGGCTGGGGATGTGGCTCAAGCGGTAGCGCGCTTGCCTGGCATGGATGCGGCCCGGGTTCGATCCTCAGCACCACATACAAACAAAGATGATGTGTCCGCCCAAAAAGTAAAAAATAAATATTAAAAGAAAAATTCTCTCTCTCTCTGTCTCTCCACTCTCTCTTTAAAAAAAAAAAAAGAAATACATGAAACTCTAATGTTCTTGTATAATTTATGTTGCTAAATACCTCTTGAGATTCCAGTGTATTTAAAGTAATCTATAATATATGGGAATCTGCCAGAACTAATTTTTTTTTTTTTTTTTTTTTTTTTTTTTTGCCTGCAGGCTTTCCTCACTCAGAGATTCAATCTGAGAAAAGGTTTTAGCCAGGGTTCCCAAACTTTGCTACACATTAGACTCACTTGGGGAGACTTTGAAACTCCTGATGCCCATATAACACTCTATAGAAATTAAATCAGAATTTATGAAGGTGGGAGTCAGTTGTTAATAGTTTTATAAAGATTACCAGGTAATTCCAATGAGAAGAAAGTTTGGGAATCAAGGCATAGACAAAATTTTTTATTGTTGAAGAGGCTCTTGCCATTTCCAACTTTGGCCACTAGATGCCGCTACTGCCTGAAGACTGGAGAAGTTCATAGTACTTTTCCATCCAAGGAGGAAACAATGGCATTGATGTTTTCTGATTAGGAAGGAGCAGGGAATTACTTTGTGTTTATTTTATTAATTTATAGTTAATTGATAGAACAATATGTTTGAAGAGGAAGTTGGAATACAGAATTATTAAATTCCCTCTGAGTAAGGCTAAAATTCTGGTAGTAAGGCAATTTTTAAACAATTTTACTCTTCATTGTTTCCGCCTTTACCTAGGGGCCTTACTGTAGAAGGAGTGCTTTGGAGGGACACTGGTATTTTGGAGTTTACAAAACACAGGGAGGGGGAAATGCTGGGAATGATATTGGCCAAATTATATTTTTATATCATGTGTATGTGCGAATATGTAACAACAAATCCCATCCGTTTGTACAACTATAATGCACCAATAAAAAAAAAAGTGGGTGAAAAAAATAGGGAACAAAAGGAATTCTTGGTGAAGGAGATTGTTCAGTGCTGTTGAACTTCTCAGCTCTGTGCTCTCTTCCCTGTTAGGACAGTTTTTTCTCTTTCCATGCTAGGTATCATCTAGGTATCATCTTCTTTATTTCTGAGTTTAAGTGAGTCTTCCTGTATTCCCATTTCCTGTCTTCTTGATCTCTCCCTGCTCCCTGCAGTCAAGAACTATGTTTTGTTCATCCTGTGCTCCAAGAGCCTGCCTTGCAGGGCTTTCCAGGCAATTAACAAGTCTTCTGTGAACCTGTGTTAAATGTCTGAAAGAATGCTCAGAGAATGTGGGTAAAGAACTTTTGTGAGTTCATTTTTGTTTTGTTGCAGTGCTGGAGATGGAACCCTGAGCCTAAAATGCACACACTAGGCAAGTACTCTTTCTATCTCTGAGGTACAGCCTTGGTCCTTGTTTTTGTTTTTCTTTTTTCTGAGACAGGCTCTTGATAAGTTGCCCAGGCAGGCCCAGAAGTTGTGATTCTGCTGCCTCAGACTCCCTAGTAGCTGGTGTGAGATAGTTTTGATTGTGAAAAATACATAAGAAAAAGGGATTGTTTTAAAGCAGTTGCTGATGAAACTGGATTCAATTTAGGGACCCTAAAGAGCAAAACCAGACAGACCATCATTTTAATGAATAGATTCATTAGAACGTGGGCTGAAGAAGACTTTGCAGTCATTCAAGGTGACCCCTTGTCATGAGGCTCAACTTCCGTATTTCAGGCCAAGTCGCTGACTGGGCTTCAATTGAAGCCACCAATCAGGACTTCCAAAGCAGACAACTCTACTTGATAGGACTAATAATTTGAAAGTTATCCCTTATGGGATAATTTTTCTCCCAGGGACTTCTGCCTATTGGTGTTAATTCATGTCTCTTCACTAGTGCAGACTACAACTGCTGCCCAAGCACATCTACAAGGATGAGATCACAGTCTCTTTTTCAGGCTAAGTGTCCTCAGCTACTTCAAATACGATATTAAGATTTAATTTAGTAGTAGTAATAAGTCATAAAAAGCTTTCAGCTTCCCTCATCCTCTTTCACATGTTTGATAAATTATTCAGTGATCACTTAATACTTTGCCAAGAAAATAATACAGTCTTTTCTCTTGGAGACCCACAAACTGTCATTCCTCTCTCCCAAGGCTCCAATTTGTTAACAAGCTCAATCTTGATTTGTAACTCCCCAATAACACTGATGATTCTGTTTCTGAAAACAGCTTCACTTATTAGAAATGATCAGATTAAAAGCTGCCTTCATAGTTCCTATAAGATATGTAATTGCCACGTCAGGACCAGATCAGGGATGTTTGTTCTTGCTTAGAAAATAGTCCTAGCATTGGAAACAAGAAAAAGAAAGAATTCTGTGAAAGTTTTGTCACGATGTCTTAGGATCCTGAAGGGATATGGAACAAGTTAAAGGACTTTGTAGATTGATCAGTTCAGAAAGCAGGTCTAACTGGCCTTCCGAGTGTTAGGAACTCACCAATTCTCTATAAAGTGGGTTCAAGGTGAACCACAGAGCCACAGCACACCTCTGTCCTTTGGTGACTGCCTTCACCCCATGTGGGTTCTCTCCTCCAGATGAGAAGCTGATCATACGCCCACACTTTGGTTTTATAGAGGCCTGCAAAAGAAAATGACAGCTAGACTTTTTAATTTTAGATCATAAACATTACCCTCCGTGAAATTATCTGGGTTAAGGTTTTAGTCAAAGAATAATGGAATGCTGGGGCTGTAAAAAGAAGTCCTGTCAGTCTTTTGATCTGTAGATAAAACCTCATAAAATAAAATACAAAAAATTAAGCAAAATATGTGGAATAGCTCATGCACATAGTAATTGCTTAATACATGCTGTGCTAATAGCCTAGAGATTCCAAGAAGGCAAAGGTTTCTTTTAATTCACTTATATAGTTTTAACATAGCAAAGCATCTATGTGCAAGGCAGGTGTACATTTAATATTTGTGGAGTTAAAAAGAAATCAAGAAGACATCTGAGCACTGGAAAAGCCTAACTATTCATCTAGATAGTGGTTACATGAGAGCACCCTTTCTAATTCCTTCATTGTGTATTTATGGTTTATACATTTGTCACAATCCAAAGATTTCTAAAAGTCAAATCTAATCCAAATGATGCATTAATCCCTTCAAACTATTGCTAGCCAGTGGTTAATCAGGCTTTGTTTGACTAGCTTCAGTGAAGCGAACATACTACCCTTGGGATGACCTATTCCATGGCCTCTAGGTGTTTTGAGATGAGTGACACAACACTTCAAAGCTTGCGCATTGCTCAGGTGGAGCTGTCCAGTGATATCTAGGTAGAAAAGGGCAGTGAGGGAAAAACAGATATTGCTGGGGGCACTGGGTCGGTGTGGAAGATGGAAAAGCAGGCTCTTCAAGTTGAATGAGCTCAAGCAACTGGATATTAGAAGCCTTGGTTGTGGTTTTAAGAAGTGTCTGATGTGAGTAGAGACTATTTTTCTTTTTTAGGAAATATTGAAACCTTACAAATTCTATAGTAGACCTTAGGAAGTAAAGCAAATGCAAAACAGTGAGACTGGCCATTCTACTGCATGCTAAGAGGGACCTTTGAATGAGCTGTTCTCTGAACTGACTTGAGTTGATACAAGCCCATTAGGGGAGTTTTCATTTTCTTTGTGCATAACATGAGATGGCTGTGGTTTCCTCACTAGTGCCTTCCAGAAGAATGTCTGAAGCATTTCCTGAAGTTCTGGGATAACATTTATACTCCCAGACTGTATGAATCACACGGAAGGTCGGAGGAAGGTGGAAGAGTCAAGAAGTCAGAGACCCAGGTGTGTGTGTATGCCCACGTATGCATGTATTTTTATGCCTCTGTGTGTGTACACGTGCGTGTGTGAGTATTAAGTGGAGGAGCAGAAGGGAGAAGTCAGTTTCTGGTTGTTTTCCTATTCACAATAATCAAAGAGTGATTTGTCTTTTCTAGATAGTGGCTTCTCTTAAGCAGCTGTATGGAGGTGACTGTTCTGATGTAAATCTGGTGTCCACAGTATCAGTATGATTCCAATTTGGCAGAGACAGAACTTGCTGTGCCTTTCTGCATAGAAATAGAACAATAAATAATGTGTGAAGCCTGTGAAGTGGGATAGAAAAACCTTCCTAGTAAGTGACCTTGGGAGCTGGAGCTTCAAGTTCTCTGAACAGCACCCTCTGAGGAGCTGGTCAGAACTCACATGACCACACATGATGGCCATCACTCTGTGATTACCAGTTCTTGGTGGAAACATTTTAGGATATTAAAGAAAGACTGTCAGGACAATTCAGAGTTTTCTTTCTAATGAAATTAGAAGAATTGAAAGGATATTTAAACATGAAAAATTTCAAGAAAGCTTAGGAGAACAAGTTATGGAATGGCTGAAGCAATCAGAACTGATGACAGGGGAGTAGGCTCTCAGGGCTCATCAGGACTGACCAAACAGGGAGCTTCACCTGTCACACATGGAGGAATAAAGAAGCTTTCATTCTCAATTCTGACATGGTTTCTACAGGACACTGTGTTCTGGAGTTTAATTAAATGGTTACAGACATATTTTGGAACACCGCACCATTAACATTGAATTTCATTTGTCACAAAGCAAACACAACTTATTAAATTTTATCTTCTTCAGACTTACACGGAGAGCCCCAAACCCTTTAATTCTTGTTCCACAAATAAATGCTATTATTTAAAATAAGCCATTTGTCTTCCAAGTATACAATTTTCCAAGTATGATTTTTACAAACAATTTTTCCTTCCATCTAACTGATAATAAAGAGCTGGAAAGAATTTGAGAGGTACTTATCCTTAATCAATGTAAACATTCAGTCACTGTTCAATTCATCATACAATATCAAGATTTTTCCAAAGTAAAGGATGGGAAAACTCTAATTCTTTTTGTGGCCCTGAGGTCAATACTTTTCTGTTTGTCCTTTGGAAGTCAAATAAGAGAAACAGAAAAGGAAAACTGTCCATTTCTCTTTGTTGAGACTGGAATAAATTTACTATGGGAAAGAGGTAAGAACTGGAAATTATTCAACTTCAATAATTCCTAAAATCTTTACCCATGAATCTTAATTATCCCTGAAATGTTCTAAAAACTCTGTCATATGCATTAATCTAAAGAATTGATAAGCCTTTGGGTTAAAAATTTAAGCCAGTTTTCATTTACTTTTTTGAGGAGAGGTTAGATCCATTCCTTTTAAAACCATAAATTATCTGATAATTATAGATAAATAAAAGGAGAATAGTATCTACTTTGACATGGTTAAAAAGCAGAATTTCAGTTAACTTACATTCAACAGTGAATGAAACTGATTCATACATAGTATTCCAAGCATCAATTCTTTCAAACATTCAACGTCTCCAAACATGGCCACTAGGGGGAGTAGAAGCAAAGAAATCTTCTCAACCACCTGTCTGATTTTATTTGAAACTGATTTTCTCCAAAGTGTATAAGATGGAAATGATTTTGTACCTCAGTTTCAGTGTTAGCAAAGCTCAGAAACAAAATGACTTCTACATACAGCTTTTACAAAAGTGACATTCTAGTGTAGGGCTTTTAAACTCCAACCAAGAACATCAATTCACTTAGTTTTCTACATTATGAAACATCAAAACACTCCCCAGATAAATATTTAAATTTACAAAAAAAAAAAAAAAAACAGTGAAGCATCACAAACTTTTGAACATATATCATTGTATTAAACTGCATAAAATATTTTTTTTAATTATAACAATATTTCTAAACAAGTTAAACCAGAATCTTCATAGAAATTCTCTTTAAACCAAGGAATATATGATATTTTATATCACCTGCAACAGCACAGTAGTATGTCATGAAAGATACATAGATGACGTACTGTTCAGAAAAGCATGAAGCTATGAGAGTAAAATTACAAAACTCAGTAAAAGTTGAGAAATGGCTTATGTAATGCAAAACCTTGAAGTTTATCATATACAGGTCCCAATTATTTAGATTTGTATGGAAGAAAGACATATCTCATAACCTATTTATAATTTATTCCCTCAGTTGGAAAAACCTGTTTTTTTAACCATTATGTATGTTCTTTGTTTAAAGATCAAATGATGCTAACTAAAACAGGTATGGTGGTGCATGCCTGTAATCCAGGCAACTGGGGAGGCTGAGGCAGAAAAATAGCAAGTTCAATGCCAGCCTCAGTAACTTAGCAATGACCTTTCCCAAAATAAATGAATGAATAAATTAATTAATTAATTAATTAATAAGTGAAAGGGCTGGGGATGTAGCTCAGTGGCCAAAAGAATGCCTGGGTTCAATCTCAGTACTGAAAGGGGTGGGGGGAGATGCTAACTGTAGAGTCTGTAAGTGCTATGGAGGCTGGTTTTCCAAAGGCACTGGTTTGCTTAGGCGAATGTTGGTAAATTTAGGTTTTGATCTACATATTTGTGTGTATGTGTATCAACCTCTGTAGGTTTATTACTTACACTAAAATTATATGTTTGTATTTGTTATGGTTTAGATATGAAGTGCCCCCCAAAAGCTCATGTGTGAGAAAATGCAAGAAAGTTTAGAAATGTAATGATTGTTATTATTAAAGGTTTAACCTAATCAGTACATTAATCCTCTAATAGGGATTAACTGGGTGCTAACTGTAGACAGGTAGGGTGTGGCTAGAGGAGGTAAGTCATTGTGTGGGGGGGTGCATTTGGGGTATATATTGTGTTCTTAGTGAGCAGAGCTCGCTTTCTCTCTGCTTCCTGGAGCCATGTCCTGAGCCTCCTTCCTCCACCACACTCTTCTACCATGATTTCCTACCTCACCTCTGGCCTGGAGCAATGGAATTGACAATCTATTGAATTGACTGAGACCTCTGAAACCATAAAACCCCAAATAAATTTCTCCTTCTCAAAATAATTAACACACTAACAGCATCAAAAAAGCTGACTAAAATAGTATTTGTACATACACACATATGCATAGACCCTTTTTTGATCATTTGAGTAACTAGGGATTTGGAGGCCAATGCTCAATCCAAGCATGTGGAACACCAGGTTACTTGAATTTATTCTGTATATTTATTTGACTTGTCCTAGACTTGGGTAACTAAGAACTAATGTTTTTATGTTTCCATCAAAGAATCAGAAAGTCTAGATTTTGGTTCCAAGTTGAACACTAACTATCTATGTGGTCCTCATCAAATCCTTATTATCTCTACTCTTTATTTATCTTCAAATTGAACGAGAAGATGTTTATGTATGCTTCTATTTCTAAAAGTTTATGGTTTATCAATTTACTTGGATTCTTTCCACCCCTTGAATTCTTGAGCTCAGAAGTATTTGGAATCCAGCACTCTGGAAATCCTTGGAAGAATGTAAGACAAAATAAAAAAACACTAAATAAATTTGCAGGAAGAAGCTTACTCACAGTCACAGTCTTAGCATCCATTTCAGTGAATATGAATTCTCCTCCTTCGAAGTCGTCATTCATATACAGGAGAGCACTAAAGGAGAAAGGGAGAGACATTCATAGGACAATATTCTCAAAATATCATCACTGTGGAACATGAAGACAGGTGATGATTGGGCTTCCTGATTAGTAAGTTGCCTTTGAACTAGACATCTCAATATTTGACCCACCAGACCCTTGAAGGTAAGATCAGATATAATTTGGGTTATACCTCTAAAGGATTTATTAATTCTACTTACATAAAAGTTCTAATCATATTTCAAAGCTCAGATCACTTTTCACTTCCTCCAAAGAATATCTAACTAGATTTATTTTAATGGAGCCCTCTGAACCCACCCACATTGCTTTTAACTCTCTTCTTCTCTCACATACTAGTAACTACTTTTTCCTTAATTACGTGGACCCTGGCCTGCAAAGAGGGGGTGCTAAAAATTATTTTAGAATAGGAAAGTGTCGTAATAATTAACACACTATTATACACATGGGGACTACGACTCCTGATTCTTCCCTTTATAGACAAAGATATCTTTCAACATCATAAAAGAGTATTTTTTTTCTGAGTTTCTGTTTTCTTGTTTGCAAAATGCACCATAGTTCTTCAAATGTGTGAGTCATTGATAAGTGATATGAGAAGATCCCCAGGTATGCTAGGACACCATGACTTTGTGTTCTCAGACTGAGATGTACATACCCAAAAAGGGTATGCCTCAGTGAAAACACAATGATTTAAAAACAACAACACAACACAACATACACTCTCCTTGGTAGGAGGAAAATGTGCATGATTTTGAAGATAAAAATGAAGTTGCCACTTCTCAGCTATGGAAGCTGCTTCAGATTACTTGAGAATCTCTGCTTCACAGAGATAAAGATGACAAGGGAAACAGAATAGCTTTCCAGTTCCCATGGATTACTGTTGGGTGGGAGCTTGGTTCTGAAGGAGTCGCGGGCTTACCTATAGTCCCGGAAAGTGTAAGCAGGAGGCTCCTTCCAGCATTCATTGGCTTCTGGATCCAACAGGCAGTTATCAGCATGGATGGGATGACTGAGGTCATTTCTTCTATCCTGTTGACCTGCCAGAAAAAGGAATAATATTGATTAACTGTCTTCTCCCGTTCCTGGTGTCCTTTGTAAATGAGAGGAGAGGAGGCACAGCAGATGAAAGGACAGTGAGCAAGCAGTCAGGAGACTCTGGTCTGGTTTTGACTTGAACTTGATGTGAAACCTTGAGCAAATCACACCTGTCTCTTCAACTATAAGCACACTCTGATAGAAATATACGTGTATAAGCTCCATGCATTTCATGGGTTGTACTTCAAAAAGGATAAGGATGAAATGAAAATGAAAACAAATGATTTTGATTCAGAGGAAACTCCCCCAAGTGTTGCCTACTCCTATGGCATCTTTCCTGTGGCATTCAGGTGGGTGGAAGAGAAGATGCTCAGGAGAAATGATAATGGACATCTCTTCAATAATCTCTTTAACAAACAGCAACCATAATGTCCAGGTCCCTGGTCCCTTAGAAAGAGAAGCCTAGAGAAGAAAAGCATTTTTTTCTGTATGATGTCAACAATAAAGAGAAATAGATTTGAAAATATTCAGAGAGAGAGTCTTCAGGAATTTTAGGGGACCAAAAAGGAGCAAAAGAGGGATGTAAAAAATAAGTCCTGAGTTTCCTAAGTTGCTACTGTTCCTCCTTCTTCTCTTCCTCCTTTAGAAATACAGAACTCTTCTAAAATATTAGGCTACATGAAATAGAGCTCTGTTTTACATAGTTTAAATTCCCATTGTATTGTGGGTAGAAAGGAACAAGTTCAGGCTCTGAATTCTCACCAGACAGGGCTGTTCGGCAGACCATGTGTGTATAGGAAAAATAAAGGGTTGAATTCAGCATGAAATAGGACTCTACGATCTTTCGGGCCTTCTCACTGATGTCATAAAACAGACGTGCACTCTTCAGTGGGACTCGGCCCTCATAACCAAACTGAAAAGAAAAGCAAAATAAAAACATTAGAAAGCAGTGGATTGACCAGTAGAATTAAAAAAACAGGAATTTTATTTTTCCTCAGACCTGATCTTAGAGACTCCCTATCTTAGTCTCTTCTCCCTATCCTTTGTGGAATGTTGGGGTAGGGGTTTCACAAGCTGTTAGATCCTTTAGTCACTTTAGTTGCATGTATTCATTTCAGTAATTAAAATATCTATGTCCTTAACTATGCATTTTAAATAGATACTTTAAATCTGAGCTCAGGCTTGCCTAAGGCTGGAAGCCTGCAATAGAAGAGTTTGGCAGCAGAAACTACTAAATGTCTGCAAAAAAACTTTTGCTTCTTTTTGAGATATGTTCCTTACACATGGCTCCAGCAAGGAAGCACATTCACCCATTCAGGGCCATACATGTGTATGAGACCATGTGAGTAAGTCTTGGACAGGGCAATGTGAGTGTAGGAATGTACACCCCATTAAAATTTCAACCATGATCCTTGCATTTTCTTCTCCCGTCTGCTATGTAGATAGACACACCCAAAATAACTATGAAAACCACTTGAAGATGGCAAAGATCTTCAGTTTGGCCCTTGAATGATTGTGAGGACTAGTGTTTCCTTTCCTTAACTCCACATCTCTCCCAGATGATTTCATTTTATGCAAGCAAGAAATAAACTTGTTTTGAGTAAGAAGAGAGAGAGAGAGAGAGAGAGAGAGAGAGAGAGAGAGAGCAGTAGGTCAATGGGAGGGCTTTGAAGACAATACAGGGTGGCTATATCTACACTAATTAATGGGGATACTGATGGGATTAGGGTTAGGATAAAGAGCTGCTGAAATAAGCTCTTACTAATTATAAAGGGAAAATTAAAAGCTAATTGTTTCCTTCCCTCTTCTCTCATAATACATTCTTAATTCCTCTCTAATAACACTTCTTGCTGTAAAGAATAATTACTTGTTTGGGTATGTTTTTATAACCAGATCATGAGCTCTTTGAGGACAGGGGTTTTGTGGGGGTTTTTTTGTCAGGTACAAATTTAATGTAAATGTGAAGTTTAATAAATTAATGACGGAATGAAGGATTGATTAAAAACAATAAAGGTGTCTGGGCACGTGTAACTCAGAGGCAGAGCATGTATTTAGTATGCACCAGACCCTGGTTCAATCCTCATCACCCCAAAACAAATATAACAAAGTTTCTGCTTCATATTTGCTCCTGATTGATGTATATTCTAAACTCTTCTCTTTCCTGTGTCTGTCATTCACTAAAGCCTCTGGGTTGACACTTAGGAACCCAAACCCAAACACAGTGAGACTTTACTTTGAGCGCTTTCAGGACAGTTGCACCTTCAAACTTTTCATTGGGCGTATGGGGTGAAGTTTTTCCTCTGTAGCCATCACCAACAAGCATGATTCCCTGGAGGCAAAAGGCAAGAAGATGTTTCATAAGTGACAATGATGAATTCATCTGGTCTTTCTTTTTGCTTTGGCTGCCAGAAAGATGATAATCAAGGTGAATACTCAGAACCATCCCCATTTTATTCCAGGATACAGGCATAATTAATTTTTTCTAATCAAAAGAAATACCTGTATTTTGTCTTCTCACTACATTTCATTATACAATATTTTTCCTTTTTAGTAGAAATATATAGAAATAATAATATAAATAGAATGCAATAATCCATATGTCAGTTGAGTATTGATTAAAATAAAGGGATTTCCCCCAGTGACTTTATATGCTAGGCAGGGAACATGCTGGATGGGCATTGTCCTGGGAATTAAGCCACTGGGATATTCCCATCTGCAAAAGTAAAAAATCATCAGAAGCCAAAGCTAAGAAAATCTCTCTGCAATCAGTGTCCTTCTCCTAAACAAAGTCAAAAGTCAGGCCTAAAAGTGGGACCGGACCACGGCTCCTCCAGGCTCATGACAGGCCCCTGCCCCACTCCATGCTCACACTGGCCACGCTGTGGAGCTCCCGGCACTGCTCCTCTGATAGGACATTATCCAGGAGAACCCTCTGGGTCCCATTCAGCTGCTCTGAGTTGTAGACGAAAGTGATGTTCTCATAGAGCAGAGGGCCACCTGAAGGCACAGAGCACATTATCTTATTATCTCTCCTCAAGGAGGGAACACAGAGCACACAACAGCTTTGAGTGGACACTTTGGGACAGACAGATTACTCAGGAAGATGGAGACACAATGACTAATAACATCTTAGGAAACTCAAGAAACACAATATGAATTCAGGGAAAAGTCAGATATTTGACTGCTATATTTTCCTATAGTGTCATAATAATATATTGCATTAATATGGTATTTTGGGATAGAAAAATTACATTTGATTCCCCCATGGTCCTGAAAAGTAGATCAGGCAACTCCTAGAATTCTCCTCTGAGAAGACTCATCCTTCTCCACAGCCCCTCATTTATATCTCTGTCATATTACAGGAAATGAATTGGTCACATGTCGGTGTTGCCCAGGTATGACATGCACCACTCAGTTCACTGGCATCACAGCAATGCCTCTGCCAGGTGACCCTGGTGTCACACCAATCTTCCGCTCCTTCCCCAGCCTCTCCCATCCCCCTGCTTAACTGGTTCCAGGAGGTCTTGTATTTGTAGTAGTTGTTTTTTCTGCTTTCTGGGTAAAGTCTTGACATTGCTTTTTCTGCACAGGAGGGTTTCCTGTAGGCTGCTCTCTCCCTAGAGAAAGCCTACAACTTTAGAGAAATTAGCTCTCTAGAGCCTCTTCGGAGTGAGATTCTTTGGGGTCACATTTTAGATTGCAAAATTATAAAATCTAGACCTAACAAGGTCCTTTCCTTATAGAGTAGGAGTCATTAATGGTGAAGAAATCTTCAGATGCAGCAGAGTGCAGACATTTTGAACCAGAAACTGACCAGAAAACATTGATATATATATATATATATATATATATATATATATATATATATATATATATATATATATATATATATCTCCTTAAAACACTCCTGATAAGTATAAGGACCTGACAAGCTGATAAATACCTGAGTAAGGGCAGTTCATTCTGGAGGATGTGAGGGTGTGGAGGTACATCTCCCCTGTCCTCCCCGAGTCTAGCAAAATAATTCCTCCCTCCTTTGTCTCTCCCTCCTCCCTTCCTCTCTTCACTCCCTCTCTCCCTTCTTTCCCTCCCATGGCAGAGAGATTCTCAGGTAGCCCTTAATGATCACTGCCTCCTGCCTTTCAGACCCTGGTGTAATTTTTTCCCACAAGTGTGGGTGGGTCTGACACCTGCTTCTCTAACCAGCCCCACGACCACATGGGGCTAAATCACACGTGCGGAGACATCAAAATTGGTGTGTGTTTCATTTCTATAAAACAGATTACTCAACCTGGGGAGTAGCACTACTTTTTTATTAGTCTAGTTAGAAAAAAATGGGGGGCTTTATCACAGAACATGATTAATAGAGCATTAAAAGAATGAGATAGTGTTTCTCAATTTTGAGTAATGTATGGTTATCTGTTACAGCCAGTGGTCCCTAAGGAGCTCCAGTGTGAACAAATTATTTTACTGTGGTTTTTTTCTACCATCTTTGTAATTATAAAACTATGTATACTGTATTTATTTTTATTATTTCATACAAGTATAATACCAAAAATTACTTACAAGATTAAATAAAAGCAAGACCATAAAGCCATCTAAATTCAAATTAACAACCCTAATAAAATGGTCAATGTTATTTCACTGAAGATAAAACAACAGATTTCACATGCAGATTCTTCTAAATATTCTGGACCAGGCTCTTCTGAACCAGCATTTCTTACAACACTGTGGTGTATAATGGCATGTTCTTTCCACCACAACTTTTCTCTATAGAATCTACTTTAAAATCTTATAGTATGTGATGAATTTTGGGCTTCATCTGGCCTTAATATATTATTTAGAAGCTTATCCCCTTCATTTGTTCTTAGTCCTCAATCACTGATGTATGAACAACTGGGCCAACATGACCTTAACTGAGAAGGGAAACCTCAGGCAACACCTAGCTACAAGGTGGTCATCAGATGACCTACTCATTTCATCCCTTAATTTTTAAAATTGTCACCAAAATTTATAAATATAGAATTTCTTGGATTCTAAAAACATATTCACCAGCCCCCAGTTTCAGTATCACACATTTTGGATGAACAGAAAAATATGTTTTTCTACAATATTTTTGTGCTGACAAGTTTTGGGCCAAGTATTGTGTTAAGTAAAATTGATAAGGATTTCCTGGAACTTTTACTGTGTGAATAAGCCCTATGGATCTCCTAAGTAGTGATGTGATATGCAGAAGATTTTAGCCTTAATGAACATAATTCCTCCCTCCTTTGCCTGTCCCTTCTCCCTTCCTCTCTTCATTCCCTCTCTCCCTTCTTTCCCTCCCATGGCAGAGAGATTCTCAGATAGCCATTAATGATCACTGCCTCCTGCCTTTCAGACCCTGGTGTAATTTATTTCCCACAAGTGTGGGTGGGCCTGGCACCTGCTTCTCCAACCAGGAGAATATGACCAAGGTGATGGAATGTCACATCTTCCTTACATTATATAAGATTGCAACTTGGATCTTCAGCAGACTCAGTCCATTGCCTTCCCATGCTTTGATGTGATGCAGCAGGTGGCTGCTTTGGAGCTCCGTGGCAAAGAACTGAGGACCTCCTCCAGCTGGCATCCAATAGGAACTGAAGAACTACAGGCAACAACCCGCTAGGAACCGAATTCTGCCATCTGATTTGGAAGAAGATACTTCCCAGTCAAGTCTGGGAAGAGATCCTAGCCTTGACCACCAATATGTGACAGACTGAAGTTGATTCAGCCACACTGACCCCACACCCCTGACCCATAGCAACTGTGAGATAACAGAGCTGCTGTTAACTGCTCTATTTGGGCCTTTTTTTTTTTTTTAACAGCAACAAAACAAAACAAAGCATGTGCTGAAAAGCTCTCGTGGGGAAAGAAATACAGTTCTCCTCAATGCAGGTTTTTGAAAGCCTCTTCTTATCTACAACTGCAGTTGGCCCTCCATATGTATGGTCCTGCAGCTATGGATTCACCACCTTAGATTGAAAATAGTTGGAAAAAAAAACTGTACTGGATATGTACAGCTTTTATTCTATCGTAACACAGTATGACACCAATTTACATAGCATTTACTTGTATTAGGTATGGCAAGCAATTTACACATATAATTTAAAGTATAAAGGAAGCTGAACATAGGTTATATTCAAGTAGTAAGACATTATATAAAAGGGATTGAGAATAATTGGATTCTGGTATCCTTGGTGGTGGGGGAGGGGTCCTAAAACCAATTCCAGGTGGTCACCCAGGGATAACTGTATTTAATCAAAAGTTATGCTTTTCCATAGTGGGGGGTGGGGTAGGGAAGAATGAAAGCACTTTGGATTGTGCAGAGGGGAGTGAGGGGAGAGATGGGGTGGTGGGGATGGGTAGGATGGTAGAATGAAACAGACATTATTACCCTATATACATGTATGATTGACTACACTACTGGTGTGACTCAGCATCGTGTACAGCCAGAGGAATGAGAAGTTACGCTCCATTTGTGTAAATGTGTCAAAATGCATTCTACTGTCATGTATAACTAATTAGAACAAATTTTTAAAAAATCAAAGGGAGATCATGGGAAGAGAAGAATGAGAATGGGGGAAGGGAGAAGGAGAAGAAAAGGGGAAGTGCTTGGGAATAATACTGGCCAAATCATATTGTTACAGTGTGTGCATGTATAAATAGATAACAATAAATCCCACCATTATGTACAACCATAATGCACCAATAAAAATATGGGAAAACAAAAACAAAAAAACAAAAAAAAAAGGTTATGCTTTGGAATACACATTGCTATGTTGCATGCAGAAAGTTAAGAAGAAAAACTGGGAATTGGATTCCAAAGTCTGGGTTCAGATGCCTGCCCAACATGTTATGAGCTGTGAGACTTTGGAGAAGTTACCAAACCCCTTCACATGAGAGACTGCTACTATTAAAATGAATTGTGCGTAAATTTGCTTGAAATATTATAAAACACAGAAATGAAAAATTGATAAGAATGAGTACTTCTATTAGTACTATATTACTCATAGTTTTTTATTATTATAACAATATTTGGCTCTATTTAAAAACTACTTTTGGCAACTCTCTAGTTGTGATTCCACTAATTTTAATCTTACATGACTAGACATATAATATTCTACTCTCCCATCTCTGTACCTTTGCTCTATTTGTTTTGTAGACTAGAATGGCTCTCTCCACACCCTGTCAATTCAATCTGAAGTCTGTTTTTGAGCTGGGGATGTACAGCTCAAGGTAGAGTGCTTGCCTAGCAGGCCAAAGGCTCTGGGTTGGATTCCCAGCCTGGCAAGAAATTTAAAAAATAAATAAACTGTACTTTCTCTCAAAGCACTTCTCAGCTCTGTCTTCAAGTTTTTTAGATGAACTAACCTATATCCCATATGACCTTTCCCACATTATCTAGCATTCATTAGCTGACTATATATGACAGAGCTAAGTTCTGTGGCCTCACTAAGCCTCAGGTATTCAACTCAGGAAGGAGATGAACACACTGTCCCTGCCTAACTCACAGGATTATTGTAGGGGGAAAAAAACAATGGGCAAGTGAATTTGAAGCACATTTTTAATAATATACAAATCTGAGTCATTCTTGTTTTTAAGCATTTCTTTCAGGCTTTTATGAACTCTAGTAATTTAGTCCTAAACTTAATTTTCCAGAGAAAGTGGATTCTGCATTAATCTAGATAAGAATGGTTCACACATTACCCTCTTCCTCCCCTCCTTTAAAAGTGAAAGCCAATGGGAACTTACCTTCTCTTAGATCTCGATCTATCTTGGGCGATGACTTTTTCCCCATTGATAATCCATGAACTTCTGCCCCCTCTACATTCACTCCTGAAGGGACCCTGTCCATTCAAAAAAAGTTGCAATGAAATTTTCCACTGAGTAAAGATGTTCAAAAGAAAAAATAGTATACTGAAGAATTCTATGGTTCTTATTACATATTTCTGTTTTACATAAGCCCACTTGTCTTTTAAAATCAAACTTTACATGTCCCTGCCTATATGAGGTTCTTCTCTATTTCTTCAATGAATATGTTCCACTTCACTCCTGTGAATCTTCTTTGCAAGCTTCATTACAATTAAAGGTATCTATAACTTAACCTCCTTCAGATGAAAGCATAGTTCCAATGGAGCAAGAAAAAGTTATCATATGAATCTTTTTAATGCTCAGAATATTGTGCTTTGAACATGGACTGAATCACTGAATGATTGAATTGGAATAAATTATATTCTAATGTTCTAGTTCTGTACTATTCTGAGAAAGAAGACTTATGTTTGTGTCATACTTTGCAAACACACAAATGAGAGTTAGCTGCCTTTATAATACACAGGAACTGGAGAAATCCAAATTGCACATGATATTCTTAGATTTCTTGCAATAATCTTATACCAATTAAGAGCCGAGTCCTTAAAATCAAGTGAAAGACCTAAAGATTCTGAGTAAGACCTGGGTCTGCCAATCCCTTGAAACTCTAAGTTTAAAGTGCCTTCCCTTTACATAGCCTGTTCCCCAGTTTGAAAGTGAACAGATTGGACCATGTAATCTCAAATGGGTAACTTAAAATACATCAAGAGTTTGTTATTCAAACATGCAATTAGAAAATTTCATTTTCTTTTCTATTAATAAATAAAAAATATCATTAACTTTTACCTGATTTGGAATCACAGAATGTCAGCACTCAAATTGCTGGATTCATTTTTTTTTTTTTTTTTTTTGAGGAAAAGTCATGAGACCCAGTGAGAAAGATATTTACTTACAGTCATACATACAAAGGTATGACCTTCCATACTGGAAAAGCTGGAACCAGGATACAGAGCTCTTAATTTGTAGCTTTTAAAACTCTTAATTATCTTTTTAATAAGAGCTAAGTTCCTTATATTATATTTTGACTATAAGTGTTCCTTCTCATTAAAAAGAAATAGTTCATACTTTGAATGAAAGACTTACCTATTCTCATCCTGTCGTCCTCCATATCTGATCCAATAATTCTGTTTTAAATTAAGCAAAAAATTATATTTGTTACTAAAATATCATTTGAAAAATAAAATTTAAAACATATTTAAAATATTCAAAAGACCTAAATTATCAAGAAACTTATACTTTACATAAAATACAACTTATTTTTATTTAAAAAATTAATAAAAAGGCAGGCTAATGTTGATGAAATTTTGGCAAAATGAAACCCAAATGGATTTAAAAATAGTATGGAATTAGCTCATTTTCTGTCCCAGAAAATGACTTGGAATTTTGTGTCAGAAAGAAGTTTGCAATATTGTTCAGTCTAACTATTCTATATTGTAAGAATAAAACAAATAGATGAAAGAAGTCAAACTTGACAAAATATCTGTGCAAGATTATAAAGGGAGTAAATGCAGTTTTCTGGTGTCTCTTGAGCTAACACAAATTTGAAAAATAATAAATGGGAATGAATGTATTTGAAGCATTACAATAAAAATATTACCTTAAATTAACCTAACTTTAAAAGCATACCAATAAAAACTAAAAAATGCTGCAAATAAAATACACTACAAATAATAATTGATAGGCATATAATTTCATAAGCATATATAAAGAATATATTAGTAACCAATAGTGAACAAAGTCCATGTCCAGGTAATTCAAAGGCAAGTAATAATACTGAAAAGGGTTATTCTTGCTGTTCATTGAAAATATACAAGTTAAAATGACAATGATGTATTATTTTCTACATAATACCTGAATAATACGGGTGATTTCAAAATATTATTTCTTGGTACTGAGAAGTTTGTAGTAAACCAATACTTTAACTGGGAGCAGTAAAGGTATCAGAAAATTCTTTTAGAAAAGTAATTTCATTTTGAGTACTTTACAACCTCATGGTTTGATGGCAAAGTAATTGTGCTCCTAGAAATTTATTCTATGGTTATAGTTTAATAGAGACACAAATGCTTAACATTAAGTATGTGAGAAACAATTCAAATATCCAGAAGCATGACAAGGGTTTATTACTTATTGTCCACCAGTTATATATATAATTTTAAAAGCTATAGAAATTGCTTATGATATTTTCTCAAATAGAAATCAGAACACAGACTATCTACACTATAGCTTTAGCTCTGCAAATGATGTGTATTTGCATGAACAATTTAGAAGATAGCTTGGGAAATGAAGAAAGACAGCATAAAGAGTTGGCCCAATGCTGTTGTTTCTGAAGCCTTTTTAATGTTTACATTAAACTCAGGGATACTCAACCACTAAACCACATCCCCAGATCTGTTTCGTATTTTAGTTAGAGACAGGGTCTCTCTGAGTTGCTTAGCGCCTTGCTAAATTGCTAAGACTGGATTTGAACTAGAGATCCTCCTGCCTCCTCCTCCTTAGCAGCTGGAATTATAGGAATGTGCCACTGTGCCTGGCTGCATTGAAATTTTTCAAAAAAATAAATCAATCCTGAGGCAAATGAATCATGTACAAAATACTTCTTTCCAATATTTGCTTTTGACTTTGGTCCTGGGTGCTATGGAAATAGGTCAGTCTTTTAAAGTTCATCACATATACTGAGTATAGATTCCACTCCTACCCCAATATTAACTCAAGGAGGGCACTATTAGATCCTCATCAAGTGAGGATGGGGAACAAAAAATACTAAATTCTTATTATTTGTGAATAAGAATTCCACTGGCAAGTTCTTTAATAGACATTTCCTTTTTTCACTTTGCCCTTACTGGTTCAGTGTATGAAAATCCCAGTCCCTCTGCAGCTGATTTTATCAGTTCAGATTCAAGTTTATGTCGTTTCACAAACATAATTAAGTCCTAGAGGGAAAAAAAGAAAGAAAATTTATATTTAAATAACAGCTAAGAGCTATGATAAATGTTTGAGTGAATACTTTTCGTTACACAATGACAAATGAACTAACAGAAATATTCAGAGTCTGGGGGGGAAGGGGGAAGTCCCCATGCCAACAGTTTTTCAAGTTAGCATGTATGAGAAAAATGTGCTTCTGGCATGAATGAAGCCTGAAAGAATTAAGTTCTAGGACCTTTCCTAAATCGTTCAGTATCTTTAAGAGCAGTGGTACATTTATCAACTCTCCCCAGTGCACATGGCAGAATAAAGAGCTTTTTCTCAGATCATTGGTCTCACCTCTCTGGCCTCAATGGATTCTGGGTCAATGCTGTCATCTAATAGACTCTCATAGTAATCCACATTGTCTTGGACATCCTCATCATCTGGGTGGAATAGGAGGTAGGCCTTGGCACACTCCAAGGCCTTCACATACTCACCAACTGAAAGGTCAAGGACATGTAGCATTAGAGTTAGCCTAAGTCTTCCCAGAGGATTTTAAAAAGAAACTTCAACTTTCCAATCAAAGTCAACATCAATCATCAATAAGAGAGAAGACAAATTGAGCAGAGTAGGCAGAAATACAGATAAAGGAAAGACATGGATTCACATACTAAAAAGGGATTATGTTTAGTCTGATTGGGTGCTAGACATTTTGCATAGATTATCAAAAGTTTCTACACAAAGTTGCTCATTAATAACTTATTTAATACAAACAGCAGAATTGGAGAAATTAATTCTTATTTCTGTACTGAGTTTGGGTTAAGTATGATCTTCTACCACAGTGATGTACTATTTTATTCATAATGTATGAGAAATATAAGTAATTTCAAAATGCTGTAACATTTGGGGTAAAGTGCTGCTTCCACAGAAAGACTCACAGAACCCCAGATGTTCTGGAGGACTTCTCTCCAACCCCTCACCACATAACATCAGCTTCAACAGTGGCCAAGTATGAAAAGCAACAATTAAGAATGTTTCAACTACAAACTCTTCATTATAGAAACATTTACCTATTATAGAAGAAATATTTAGAAATATTTAACCATCACAAACAAAATTTTGAAATGCTGTACATCATGTTTTTAGGTCACAACACTTCAATATCTTTTAAAAGAAATCATATACACACATATTTTCAGAGATTGCTTTGATTTTTTAGTAAGAATGATAACATTAAGCAATTCTCTCAACTCCTTTGCAGTCACTGCTAATGACTTGAGCACATGATTTATTATCTGCCATCAGTGCCAGGACAATGAGTAATGTTTTGCTTTTGGAAAGTGAGAGGCTTTGCCAAAGTAGCTTAAAAATGTTGATTTTCCAAAGCAGCGTTAAAATATTGGCTTGAGTCTTTTTCTTCTTATTTTAGAAGGGAAATACTTTCTTTACTAGTGACTTCTCTAAAAGGCACAAATACTGGTGACAGTGAGAAGAGCAACTAGGAATTATGACATGTCACTAAGAGAAGTGACTTCAAGACAATCACTTCCCTACAAAATGAAGATGCTAGACAATGTGGCACCAAAGACCAATTTCAGCAATCTCAATTCTATTAACTGCTCTAAAGCACAATAAAGGATGCTCAATATCTCTTTCTCAATAAAATAAAGGGAAAGTAAAACTATATTGAGATTTCATTTTTCACTTAATGGCCTGGGGAACATCTAAAAATTGATAATATATTCTGATGATGAGCAATGGAAAATGCACTCCATCTGGAGGAAAATTTGGCAACATCTGTCATAACTACAACCAATAAATCATTTAACCCATCAATTGAATTTCCAGACATGATCTTACAGATAGATACCTGTGGTCAGATGTGCAATGACATACATAAAATGCTCTTCACTTGAAAGTACATGCATTAGCAACAGATCACTACCAACACAAATGCCCATTAATAAGCTGACACTAAAATAAATTAGTTCAATGACATGTAGATATGAATAAAAATGGATGAGAAAGATCTCCACATACTGATACATTTATGCTAAACCCTAAAAACTTGCAAATATTTAGCCGTTTGGCTAACAAAATGGTGATTTCATAGTCTAACCTGCTAAAAAAATCTGACATGCATTAAGTGAAGAAACAGTGGGGGAATAGTATAAATAATATGTTGTCTTCTGTGTAAAAGTAAGAAGAAGGAGAAACATTTTCTGTGAGTGTATATTAATTTTTACATACAAAATTTGGAAGTATAGATAAGAAACAAGGTTGATGGTCATGAAACTGGGTGGTGGAGACATGGAGGAGAAGGAGGATTTATAATATTTGGGTCTGCAAGTTATAGGAATGTATTACTATTAAAATTAAGCTCCAAGAATTAAGTTTAAAAATCATATAGTGTCAGCCTAGGTATAATTTTCAGGAAATTATCACAGTATTAGATTCTGTACTGTGCCTATTTTATGGTGTCACCTTCTGCTCTTCTTGTCCCAAGCAGTGATATGAGATGAGGGAAAATTGTATAAATTCCATACTTTGGTGATAAAGAAAGCAGAGGACTAAACCATGAAAATGTAGTGTCTGCAATGATGAAAAGCGACCCCCCAAAGTCCTCACAGATAATCCATGCTTTACCTCGGTAGTAGGCAAACTGTAGGTAGTCATAATGCAGAGGAAGGAAGTTCTCAATGGGCGAGAGGCGGCCAGGGCGGGTGGCAAGCTCCCTCACACACTCATGCTGGCAAACCAGCACCTGCATGTAGTGATCTGGAAGACAAGAACCAAAGGTATGTCCTGCTGTCTGCTGATAGCCAGGTGTTGTTACAGCTGCAGTTCCACGGGGCATTCCTTACCTCCCACACTGCCAGAGAAAAGTGCCTATCATCAGCACTTTGTGATGGTTGCAGCTTCTCACCAAGACAGTGACTTGCCCTGGTCTCTTCACCATTACTCAACAGTGGTAGGTTCCAAACCCTCTGGCTCATGGCCTTTTTGTATGTTGTACCCTTCCTTTCCCATGTATCCCTTTCTTTATCCCCTTTGAATGTGACAACCATTTCACCCCATCCACATCCAGCTGCATGTAGACTTTATTATTTAACAACTCTGACACTTCTCTTTGGGTGTCCTAAGCATCCTGGAATGAGGGTTGTAAGTTCAAATTCTAGTGATATGAAGGAACTGTTCAGAGAATGAGGCCACTGTGTCGATTTAGAGTTTAAGCAGAGAAATGAAACAAAAAAGCTCCCCTTCCCTGAGCAGAGTAGGCAGAAATACAGATAAAGGAAATGTTTTCAAGCCAAATTTGCCTAAGGAGGAAATAAAAAATAAAATAAATAATAAAAATATTATTTATTATTCTTGACATCTATTGATGAAGACTCTATCCAGTTATAAATTAGCCCATCACCTGGACATTGTATATTCTTTACTAGGAACTGGTTAAGTAGGGGAAAGGTTGAAAGCTAAAGAATTCAGGTAAACATTTTTCCTCTTTCTCCTTCCTCCCTCTTCTATGGCTCGCATTCTTCCCTCTTGCCCAGAATTTGATTTTGACAATGAAGACAGAGGCAGTCTTTTCCAGAAAGAATAGTCCGTTCATGTTGGGCTGAGCAGGTTGCCTTGAGAAGGATGATAGAATCTATTTGACTATGGTTGTCCAACTTAATTTACCCAAACTGCCTTCTTTCAACAGGTTTTCTGTTTAGTCAGAGCTCAGCTTAGCTGGATGATCTTGCAGAGGGATCTCAGAACACAATAGGAAGGAAACATGCATTTTCTGGTATGGGGGAAACGGTGCCAGGTTCACACGAGCTGGCTAACTCACTCCTAGGGGCACAGTTAGAATCCCTGAAGTCTACTGGCCCCAGCTGGGCCATGTGAGAGGAAGAGTGAGTTCCATTTATTTGATTAGCTAGTTAGAAATAAACAGCTAGCTATTTTATTTCTCAAAGGAACAACAACAAATAACCTTCAGCTGTCTTCTACTTAACCGCTTACATTCCTCTTTACCTTCTAATATACATTTTCCCTATTCCAAATGACAAGCAAAATAAAACGATGGAAAACACATGCACCATGAAATGATTTTCTGAATTAAAATATTTTTCAAAGCTGGATATAAACAGCAACAAAAGGGACAAAATGATATCCTTCAGGGTTATTCATCAATAACTGCATTCAGCAGCCATTTGTATTTTTCTCCAACTTTTAATGTCTCTTCTAACTCTAAAATACAAACATTATGGCTTTCTAATACAGTCTGTATTTTAAATGCCAGTTTTACTCCTAATTTAGGACACTTTTGAACCAGACAACAATTTACATAGTGAGAGTTGTCATATTTCTTTTTATGAGTTGTATTCCTTGCCTGTGTTCTGCTTGAATGTCATTGTGCAATTAATATGTTTTTAATAAGCATGCGATCCAAGACACTTGTGTGGGAATACTTTAAAAATGTTCCTTCTCATAATAAACTGGATATGCTTCAAATTCCCAAGAAGATTTACCATATTTCTGAAATTGACAATATTTGGTTTGACTCTTTTTTATTGCTTTTCTTTATTGGAAGTTGTGGTGGTGGCAGAGGTAGTTGTATTAAGAACCTGAGTTAGAAGACCTGTATTCTTTTCCAGTAAACCATGTGCTGTGGTAATGACCTTGAGCAAATCACCAAATGCTGATCTATGGGAAATAGTCAGTTTCCTAAACCAGATCTCGGATGTTTGCCAACACTTTTCCTTGGGCATTCACAGAGGCAGGTTTAGAGCTGAATGTGGGGGTGGAGACTGAGCACATATTTCCACAATATCACAACATAGCAAACTATAATAAAAGAAAAGCCTGCCTATTTCTCCCCTCCAAAAAAAAAATAAGTACAGAGAAATACTTGAAATTAAAATGTAAAACACCCAAAAAACTGACATTGAATTGAGCAATGCTCACAATACTGCAGGCAAATGGATCTCGCAGAAGCCCAGGGAAACAAAACTTTGGGGAACAAATCCTCAATAATTCATGGGTTTATTGATTTTAGGTGAACTGAGCTGATTTTGAGTAATAGGGAAAAAATAAATGTAATTTTGAGTCTACTAAATATATGGATTCTAGTCTATATTTTGGTAGCTATACCCTAATTGTCCCTTTAAAATCCTTAACAATTTATGACCTACATTCTCACAAACATGGAAGATTGTTAACCAGTTAGTCTGCAATATTGTTAGTTATCTGTCATTCTAATTCATTCATTCATCCACCTATTCATTTAGCCAATATTTACTAAGTACCTACTGTCTGCCAGTCATTATGCTTAGGTACTGAGGACTGAGCACTGAAATAGAACTTATTAGACAAATGACACAGGAAAACAACATTCTGAAGGTATTTAAGTAAAAATAAACATGATATACCCAAGGAATTAAAGATGCAGTAAGCATCAATCAAAGAGAAGTTGGGGAACTGGTGGATGAGAACATATATATGAAAGTCCTCGAAGGTTTGGCTTTTATTCCAAGTGGAATATAAACCATTGGTGGTAGTGATGGTGAGGTTTAAGTAGGTCTGTGAGTACAGAATTTTGTGTCTCTAAAACACAAAATTATCTGTCTCTGTTTAGTGTCAAACCTGAACTATACACTAGAAGCAGTAAGGAGGCAGTCACGATAAGTTTAGTTAAAATATATAGGGGGTTAGCAAAAGGGATGCAGAGAGCCAGAAAATCCTAAGTGCTACTGGGAGGTAGTGTCTATTGAAGTTTTGTAACAAATCAGATAGATGAAAGGAGGAGTTGAGAACGATGTGGGCCTGAAAGATAACTTCCTGGGACTTGGCTTCAGTTACTGGTTAGGTGCTTTCTTAGAGAACACTAGAAGTTGGAGAAAACAAACTGATTTCAATAATTTGCATTTCTATGAAACTGAACACTGTTTTCATATATGTGTAACTTGGAACACAATACAGACTCAACAAATGTTTGTCAAACAGCTGTTGAATAAATTACTTTTTTCATTTTTCAGTTATCTAGACTTTGACAATATGCTCTCTAGATTCAGAAAAGCCTGGATTTGATATCCAGCATCATTTTATTTGTGTTGCTTAATCTTACTGAGGGATAAATTCCTCATTTAAAAAAGGGAGAGGAGTCTCTTCAATGAGGTGATAAAGTGACTGCCACAAAGATGCAGATAATTGTGAAAATGCTGATGGGCAGCCCTTTTGTAGTCCAGCCTAGTGACACCACCAAAAATGTCAAAGCCAAAAGCCAAGCCCTAAGAGCATCCCACTTGACCAGCAGCATCTGATGCCTGCAGACTGAGGGAGGATGGCTGTACTCTCTGGGACTTCACACCCAGCGTCCACCCTGCACCTGCTGCTTTGCCTACACAGTAGCAGCACCCACCATTCCCTGCATCAGCTTGCCTAGAAACCAATGCAACAAGACAGCTGCTGTAGGTGTCATGCTCCTTTGAACCCCACACTGTCAATTCCTACAAAAAAAAAAAAAAAGGCCACAGCAGCATACTCCACTCCACAAAGCAGCCAAATAAGGCCCCTCCATGGGCTTCTCCTTCCCTCAGAGGGTAGCCTCCTGCCTAAGCCCCATGGCCCTGGGGCCTCAATAAATTCCCTTTTCATTTGACTGAAGCAGTACAAACAAACAAACACAAAACGGACATGGTGAGGGGGGTAAATAACTACATAGTATCTGCCTACAGAATTGTAAAGAACTTTGTGTTATAATTGCTACGTTAAGTGTTAGCTTCTCTCTCTGCTAATAAATTACCACTAGTAATAATACTAGTGATGATAATTTATATGCTCTCTTTAAATATAGCCTTTAAATATGAAGGATATTAACTCCATCTATAAAACATTTTGCAATATTTTCCAGTTGTCTTTTGTAGATCAACTAATTTATTGTATAAGTTCATATTGATGGGTCTTAGGTAAAAAGTCTTTTTCTTGATTTATCTTGTCTTTTGTCATGCTTAGAAGAGTTTTTCCTCTCCCAACATAACACAAATCTCTTACATCTATTCTAACAATTTTGCTTTTTATAATCATATTGTTAATACAAATAAAATTTATTTTCATGCATGGTATACAGCAGGGAACTAACTCTCCTGGCCCACAAATGCTTAATTAGCTAATATCAGCAGTTACTGTATATTGACCATTACCTACTATTTTAAATACCATTCTCATATATAGTAAACTATTCTTTTAAGTAATTGAAAAATACTATACCAAAGTGTTTATTACTACATTGTTTATAAAAATTAAACCCTGTAATAATTTTAATATTCATCAGTAAGATTGGTCAAATAAGTTATGACAACACAACATAATGGAATATTACCTAGTCATTAAATACAATCAGGTGAATATTATGTACTTACATTAGAAGAAGTCCACAATTAATTGTTAAGCACAAATAAAACAAAAATATGTTGAAAGGCAGTACTTATACTATTTCCCTGTTTCTATAAAAATGCAATAATAATTATAGACACATAAATATCTGCAAATCAACTGGAAAATGTTAACTGCACAAATAATCAAGGGGAGATAGGATGGGATTGACATATGAGAGTCTTTCATTTTTTAGAATATATACTTCTAAATTGATGCAATTCTTTTACAAAATGCATGTAGTATTTTTGTAATGACAAAATAAATAAAAAGAAAAAATAAGCTTTACCTGCAATAGTTTCATAAAGACCCCCTTTATGCCCTAAGTACTCATACTCTTCAAATCTCTGAGGCCCTTCGCATAAAGTTCTGCACTCTACATCTTCACTGAAATATTCTCGTAAAGCTCGTTCAAAGTACTTGATAGCCACTTCAAAATCATCAGCCTCATAGTGTTTAACGCCTGCACTGTAGCTCTCCTGCAAATACACAGAAAAAACATATTTTCAAAGAGCAGCATGCAAGCAGCCTCAGGATCATGTAGGAAGGTGGGGTGTGGAGCTCACATGTGCTGCACAGAGATAAAACAGTATTACACCTGGAGCCCAGACTGTAACCTCCCTGGATTCGAATAATTGTAAATGAGAGAGGACTGAATGAGCAAGTAGGCTGCTCTGGTACTAGTAACTTCATTCTTCTCCTGAGCACACATTAAGATTATAATTTCTAGTCCCTTTGCCGTGGGTAGGGGCATAGAACAAGTGCAGGTCAGCAGATGTGGATGGAAATAACACCCACTTGCAGGCCTTGCCCAATTGAAGAACAACAACAAAAAGTAGTCTTCCATCTAAAATCTTTCTCTCTCATCCTTCACTGCAATGATTTTAGAGGCCCTTGAGAATGGTCATGACAAAAAATGGGGGGAAAAAGTCCTTCTAACATGGGATTTCAAATAACATTTCATAAAAAAAGAATTGTGTGGCTCTTTAAAACCCCAATTTGTTTGTTTGTTTTTGTTTTTTTTTTTTTTTTGCAATTGCCACTATTTAATTCCACAACATTTTCATCTATGCCAAAGAAACCTCATATTCATTAATTGTCACAATCTTTTCACCTTCCTCTCAGCTCTTTCTAACCACTGATTTACTTTCTGCTTATATGGAATGGCCTATTCTCAACAATTCATAAAAAATGGAATCATACAATATATAGCCTTTTGCATCTGGTTCTTTTGATGTATCACAGTATTTCCAAAGTTTATCCATATTATAGCAAAAGCAAGTACTCATTCCTTTTTAAGTCTGAGTGTGTTCCACTGTGTGGATATAGCATATTTTGTTTGTCCATTTATCAATTAATAAACATCTGGGCTGCTTTTACATTTCAACAATTACATACAATGCTGCTATTTGTTAATTAATCAATTTATGTATTGATTTTTGGTGTTGAACCCAGGGGTACTTTATCATTGAACACTTGAATCAAAGTGTGAAATATGATATGTCAAGAACTATATAATGTTTTGAACAACCAACAATAAAAATTTGAAAAAATAAAATAAAATAAAAAAATAAAAGGGCTGAGGATGTACTTAAAACCCCAATTTGAAAAGGACAGGTACCATGGGCAAACCTGTGACCCAAGAACCCGGGAGTCATGATGTGACCTGCTCCTGTGACAAAGCTCCTAAGTATGAAGTGTGTTGGAAGCAGGGCATAGTGGTACGTGCCTGTAGTCTCAGCTACTCAGGACACTGAGGCAGAAGGATTATTTGGACCCGGGAGTTCAAGAGCAGCCTGAGAAATGAAAGTAAACCATGTCTCAAAAAAAAAAAAAATAGTGTTGGAGAGGAGCTGAGGGTTACAGATACTTGTATGATGTTCTGGGTTTCCCAATACACTGATTTGCTAAGTTAATTTTTATTTCCCTCAATTTTTAATATTTTTAAAATTTAATTAAAAACTTAAATATTTTCTTGATTTTTTTTGGTCTGTGATAATTATAATATTTCATCTGAGGACTCTGAAAATAAAAACACGACTGGAAATTGAGACTCAAATTGAGATATCCATTCACATGAATCTGGTTTGGGTCAAATGAAACTCAGGAGCACACAGCTCCGCGGGGCATGAGGCAGGTGTCCTTAGAACTCACAAGGTGAGGTTTGGCTTCTCGGTCTATCAGCTGGAACTCTTCCACACCAGCCATCATTCTGTAATTCTCAATGTTCTGTTGCATTTCCATATGCTCGGGATTGGCCATGAAGAAAGTGTGAGCAGCTTCCACTGCTTTTTGCAACTGGTTAAGCTGTAGAGGGAAAGGAAGGAACAAATGAAGGCAAACGTGTCTAAGCTGGGCTCACAGAAATAAAAACATTAATTCAAGGTCTTGTAGAGTGAAAGTGGTAAGGCCAGGATTCCAGTTCATAGTCATTACTTACACATATTTTTTCTACTATACTATATCTAACATCCACACTTAAATGTCAGGAAGTTGATAGTGTTCCCAAAATAATATGTGGATATTTTGACATTTGTGAAAATGAATACATATGCTTTGTTCCACATTAATCTCCTTCCTCGATTTTCTTAGCCACCTATGTTTTCAGGAAACAAAACCTATGTGATTATGTTAGCTTTATAATTAATTAAATAGAAAAAAAGCTCCCCAGGGCTGTATATTCATTTTCAATATTTTTGTCTTATACTTTCTCCTCTTTGATTTTGCCCATTTTTCCCATGAATCCTGAAACTCAGGACAAATACTCTTTACATTTTCCAAAGGATGGAAGTAGGAAACCTATCCTTCCGTCAAATATGTCCTCGGGTTTCAGACAGTGATGAATTAAAAGTGAAGGAGTAAACTACTCCAGTATGTAAGAGACCCTGAACTTGCCACTCTGATTCTCACTAATACAAAAGGAAGGACTTTTAATAATCACCACACAGACATTGTCTTCCTCCTAAACCACTTAGACCCACTCTCCATGGACAAAGCAAGAACTCATTTTTAACACAAAAGAATTAAATTTATCAATTTAAGACATTTTGACCTGTGCTTTGGTCATAGAGATTGTCTACAGAAAGATCCATTTATTTCATATCAGAAAAATAAATATTCTCATTAGCAGTCTTTTTCATAGTGAAATCCAAAAAATATTTTGGGTTTGTTTTAAAGTATGAAGAAATGAAAACTCATTATTATTGAAGAACAAAATATAAAATTGTAGGACATCATATAATATTCAATAGGTCTTCTTTTGGAAAAGTAGCTACTCAAAGACTTAAAAATAGAAATGACAGTGGGTTCACAAGCCCCTAGTCACTGCAGGCCGGTGATATATAAAGAATTGACTCTCCCAGAAAAAAAAAAAAAAAACTGCTTAATTTTACAGTGTCGTATCCTTATTATCATATTCTTAGTTAATGACCTTCCTCCTATTAAATCTTTCCTCAAAGTACCTTTTTTCCATTATTTTTCCCTATGACCTAAATTTTGTGCAGCCAGAATTGTTTTGGTTTTCAAAACCTCTAATTTTGGATGTTTCTTTTTATCTGTTTTATTTTTCTCAATTTCTCACACACTAATCAGATAAATAGGAATTCTATGGGCATCTACATAGTGACAGTTATACAAGTACAGAGGGAAAACAGTGGGTTTTAAATTGTAGGTAGGTTCACTTTTATTGGCCAAGTAAACCTGGAAAAGGTCTTTTAAACATCTGCACTTCAGTTCTCCCTTAAGAAAAATACACTCACAAAAAACTGCATATCACTATCTACCACATAGCATTTTGGAAGGATTTAACTGTGTAATATATATCAATGTGATTTAAAAAAAAACACTCAAAATAAATGAACCAATGTTAGCATAAAGTTTATAAAATGATCTATCAGTTTTCAAGATGTGAATCTGTTCCCTTGAATGAATATAACCCATAACTCTCATGAAGGACTATAATCTATAATTCCTGTGAACATACCACTTATGAGAATATAATAGGCACCTTTTAGTGAAAATTATCTCAAATTAATAGCCAAACCATAAGTATTGTGTAAAACCCATTAGTACTGACATGTTCTGATTGCATAGCACGAGGCCTTAAAGTTGATAGAACACAAACAAATAGTTGTGATGCTCATTTTCCTTTTTATGCCTTGGCTCAGGCTGTTGCATGGATTTAGAGAAGCTTTGCTCCTGTGTGACTTCTTATTAAAATGTAACACATCCCATAAGGCCAAGCTTGAATCCTGCTTTCCTTAAGAGTTGCTTTCCCAAACCTATAGCTCTGGTGAAACACCAGATATCATCTTATCCCTATTCCTCTATGAGTACTTAACATATTCTGCCTTATATTTTATCTCAGTATATTTGCATCTCCAAGTAGAACTTTCTGTGAATAGGGATGATATAAATTATTTATTTTTATTTCCCACCTAATTTACATATAAATAATATCTATGATATGTCTAGGAGAAAAATGTAAAGCAAATCTTTAACATATAGATTGAGAGGTATGTTACATGTCAGTGTGTCTCATAAACTATACAGTACTAAGAGGACATAACGCTGAAAGTTTCCAACAATAGTTATCACAGGTGAATATGTTTCAGTAACTCTTGAGAATGGTCAGCTAATGTTTGAAAAACCACATTGCCTATTTGCTTATTTGGTGCAGTAATATATATGAATGTATTTTCACTCTGTGTTAAACATAATGCCATCTTCCTCATACAAATATAAAGAAGATTCCATAACTTCACACTGAACCATAAAATTTCTTCATGAACTGGCCTTGGCTTTTAAATTATTGTAAAGCAGTTCATGAAACTAAAACTGTCTGCCAGAGTCCATAAAAAAAAAAAAAAAGATCATTGTTTCAACTGGAAAGTTGATAAATTTGTACTCTGTCATAGAAATAAAATTCACATACTGGGTTTCATTGGAAAAGTCCACAGAACCATGTGCACAGTACATATAATGTTGTATTAACGGATGGAAATTACTACCGACCTCATAAGTACTAGATTTTGACTAAAGAGGAAACTACCAACTACTCCGCCAATGCAAATCAAAAGCAAATGGCATCTGAAGGCTTCAAACCGGATTTCTTTAAGGTATCCTTAAAACCAACCACAGAAGAGGGTAGCTCTAATATGAGGGTAAATCTATGCATTAGAAAAAAGAAATTTTGAAATAAAGAAGAATTGAGGAAAGGGGAATGATTCAACAAGAAGATGGTATTGAACTTAAAAGGTGAGCCACTGGCCTCTGAGATGTGAGAAAGAAGCCCTGGATCATTTTAACCCAAGCTATGAGGAATGCAGGCAAACATTTTCTCCTGCCAGCCCAGAAGCACAACCCTACATGGCAATCATGCTGCCTGGAAAAAGAAATGAACACTGACTAAATCAACACCCTGCTGATGTTCGGAAGTTGCAGTGTCATGAGCTGATGAGTGAATGAGGCTCTTCTGACACGCAAGTCATTTTCCATAGCCAGCAATAAAGGAGATATTTCAAAAGCACACACCAATGATTGAAAAATCTCCAGTAGCTATCCATGGACCACAGAGAGATTCCAGACACTGCATCAGAACATTCAAGAACTCTAGCATTTGGCTCCAGTCTTTTTAGCATAACTTTGTCCTATCCATCATTAAGAAAACTTTTCCCAGATGAGTTGAACATACCAAAAGTTTTGCAACTTCCCATCACACTACTCAAGAAAACACATGTGAGTCCAGTACTCCAGTTGTACCCAAATTCTTCACTTCATTCATTCACTTATTCAGCAAGCATTTATTTTGCATTAACTCTGTGCTAGACACTATGTTAGCCAAGGAGAACACATATGTGGCCAAGGCAAAGGACCTGCTTTCTGGATGTTAATATTTTCACTGAAGGAGACAAATCTCTAGTGAGTAATTTTTAGTGAAAGCAGTTTGAGTAAGTGCTAAGTAGGTATAAATGAACATAGTTGTGAGCCTGGCAGGATTGGGATGGAAGGAGGAACCCTCAGATCCATTATCAAGGAAGATCTCTCTGCAATGACCTAAAAGTGGAGAATCCAGTCATGAGCTTAGCAGAAGAAAGATCATTTCAGGCAAAAGAAAGTCAAGGGAAAGGGCCCTCAAGTGGAAAAAGCCCTGGCATATTTTAAAAGCTGAGCAGTGACTAAGAAGGGAGATTTGAGAAACGGGAGGACAGGTCACTTTTAGTCTATGCTCAAGAGTTCCATGTCAAACTAAGTGCAAAAGGAAGCTATTAAAGAAATTTAAGGAGAGATGTTAAGCACATTTTAAAATGGCAATCAAAATTGTTATGTGGAAAACAGATTTTGTAGCGAGCAGGAGGGCTCTGCAATAATTCAGATCGGAGTTCATTCTTATACTTTGCAAAATAAAAATAGGGCTGCATAGGTCAGTTGCCTCCTCTTTTTCTTCCTCTCCCCTCCATGCTTTCCATTCCTTTCTTTTCCTATTTTGCCCATTCTTGCTGTGGCGATGTTTCTCAACACAGAAGGCACACACATTACAAAAGAAAAAAAATTAAATGTCCAAACATAGTAGGAAAAATATAAAAGTTCCTTTGCTTCTGAATTTAGGCGAATATGAAGCTCAAAAGTTTTGAAAATGAAATTGAGAACAGCTTGTGAGATATGTACAAAAAAGGAAAAAGCCAAGTTCTAAAGCACATTAAAACACACAAGAAACACTGTGCACTTCAGGAACCATACTTTTTCTCTTCTGAAAACTTTTTGAACAGTGGGAGTAAAACACGGAGTCCAAAATAAGTTATTTCCATTCTATTACTCAGATATCAATGTTTTCAATAAAGAAACAGATTTTTTTTCCTCTATATTCACCTCCCTGACTTTGGAGATTTATCCAATATCGTGCATCACCTTTTGATAAGGTACTATATTTTTGCTTTGGACTTTGTTTCACAATATAGCAACTCAGGAGACTCTTAGCCCCGTGTGAGGTTGCTCATCAGGTTTCAAGATGTAAGTAGACACCAAAGACATTAGGTTTCTAAATCACAGAATATTCAAGTTCTAGCTAGTATCATTAACACACCAGTTAGAGGGGGGAAAAAATTGGCAAGAGGTGAAACCTAAAAATTCCTGGCCTGAAAATGTAAGTCTTTGTTTTATGGAGCTATTAGATATATACTGTGACACAGGACACTTTTGTAGATATTTCATCACTTGCTAAAATCTCCAAATTTACTTCAAAATTTTGTGAACCCTAGTTAATTTTTCCTCCCAAAGTCAAATACATAAATATAAATATGTTTTAAATT